ACAAGAGTCCCTCCTACCTCTTTTGTTCCAAGGGCTCATGGGAATTGTAGTCTGGATTGCAGCACAGGGTCTTTTTAGAATAAAACAGAGGTCCCTTTAGTAAGGGGACTACATAAGGATGGCAGCTTAAAGTGTTGTTTAATCCATGAGTCCAAAGGCTCATGAGGGTGCAGTGTGGCATTGCTGTTAACCCAGCTGGCGGAGTCCAGGGACATATGAGGGGTCAGCTCATGAGTTGGGTGCAGTGTGGCATTGCTGTTAACCCAGCCGGCGGAGTCCAGGGACATATGAAGGGTCAGCTCATGAGTTCTGATTACTCAGTCCTTTCAGGCATGCTTTGGTAGTTGGTGTGAGTGTCGGTGTGTGTCACTAACGTGAGAAGAACCCCATCCTAAGGAACCTAGTTCCTGCAGGAGAGCTCCAGTGGGAGGGGAATTGGCAGCAGGAAGAGAATTCAGCTCCATATGAGAGCACAAGTAGCACACTGATAACCTTCTCCAGTCCCTTAAGTGTAACCCTAATAAATGAGCATATCCCATAGTATTGGGCAAATCTGGTAACAGTTCTCTGAAAGAAATCTCCCAAAAGATGGTGCACTGGATAGTTGTAAGGAGAACACTATTATGCCTACACACAATGCCACAGTCAGCTGATCCAACCTAGTGATGTAAGGACAGATTGCACCAACTAAGGCAGCCAAATATGAATGCTCTCTTCTGAAATAGTTAGGTCTATAGCTGTATATTGGCAGAAATTTTCCTCTAAAACTTTCTAGTGTAGACAAGCTTTGGAAAAGGTAAGATTTAGTTTAATGAAAGGTAACATTACTGTATACTTGCCTTTGGGTTGTTTGCATCAAACAGCCCAGTAGAGAGCCCAATCAATAATGAACTTTTGCCTTTACTTTTTGTAGGCGATACAGAACGTGAACGTGGTGGAAAAGGCTCTTCCACTGAAGACTGAGCTGACAGAACTGGTGCAACTGTCGGTATGGCTTGTGTCTGTGCCACCTTCTGGAAAAAGGGTTCAGGTTTCATAGAGTTACTGAGACAAGAGCCTAGGGTAGTAAGATAAATAATGTTACAAATTCATGTAGGTAAAAACTTCAAGTCTACAAGCAAATGGTAAAAAGGGTTGAATTAGGATAGTCCAATTATATAATTAAAAAGCCAGATAAACTAGTCTCCACATTTTAAAGTCACTTGTTTTAATCTGAACGATTAAAAACATTGTAGGAAACTCAATTGAAATTTCTCCCCTCTTATTTACCAAGGCCTTTAAAAACACAGATGCAAAAATTTGCTAAGTTGTAGGATCATATTCAACTTTTGAAACTTATGTTATAGTTGTAAACTATTATATTGCGTTTAGACACCGTATACTTGGTTTAGGTACATTTGTGTAGGGTATATTGTTTATAATTTATGACAGAAGCTTCCTTAAGGAGTTACTTCAATTAAGTTCTAATCAACCAAATTTCAGTTGCAAGCCTTACCATATATTTTAGAAGTATGAGCCTGTCTGTCCTTGAGTCCATTTGTTCAACTCCTCCTCCTAAACTGTAAGATCTAAGACCACCAAATTTGATATGCAGCTTCCTCTTATAACTTAAAAGCAGGGTCAGGGTTCGGTTGTGCCAGGACAATGGGATGTGTATGGAATTCAATTGGTTCTCATAAATTGGAAGGTGAGAGTTCTGATCGAAAGTTCTGATGGGGGAGCAAGGGGTCAGAGATGGGGACTAGGACCGCTACCATCCCACTGGCCCAACAGAAGGCAGGGGTAGAGAAAGGGATAGCTATTACAAAACGTTTTGTCTGTTTGTGGGTCTGTCTGTCCCCCGCTGGGGGTCATGTACCTCTCCCTTGACTGTGCTTACTGCAGCGTCAGTGGTCATAGACAGGCACTTTTTATCTGGCCCTCAACCTACTTCCGTGAAAGAGCTGGGATCGTCCTCTATCCTCGGGGAAGACCGCATACTGAACCCCTCATCCTCAGCCCCACTCCAGAACAGTGATTTAAATAAAGAAAAACAAAAAACTTACTTAAGTTAAGGACCTAAGCAATGCTGAGTAAATCTTCTACTTACTATATAAAATCGTATATATTTTACTTTAAAAAACTACAGTGTAAAAAGTAAAAAACATATAGTCTGATGCAATGTAGAAAGAAAACTGGTTGATTGTATATGAAGGTTTATATTGACAGAAAATATTCTGTCAAGTAAAATACTGTACATGTGCTGAAATATTCATTTTATATCAGGGATACTGTATCATCACTGTAATATGTGGATGGTGGGAACACCATTGTTTAATATTAACTGTTGCAGCACAGTCCACTCATTTTATTTTTTTTTGTTCTGTTCTAGTCCAGAATACAGTAGAAGGCAAATACTCATTATGGGAAACATGGAAAAAAACACTATTAAAATACAATATTTTGTGTGTACATACATGTGCACCTTATAAATTGGAGCCCTAAATTTCTTCAGAACAAAAAATTCTTAAAACTTCCTCTCTCATGGATCCACACAGGGTTTTTATTATTACTATTTATCACTTTATAGTAGCCTAAGTGTACCCGTGCTTCATAGAAGACACTAAAAAGACAGGCCACTTCCCTGAGGAGCTTACTAGATGGAGCAATGTAAGCAAAATATTTCCAAACCTATGTTAACTGTATCTCCCTCCCCCCCACAAAAAAAACCCAAAACAAATCCAAAAAACCCTGAAGACTTTTGAGGGTTTATTTTTCTCTGGTTAATGTTTGTTTTAAAAATGCAACAGAAACAGCCCTCCAATTCTCCCTAAGAGTTTACTAGTTTCTGCTGAAATAACCTACAACAGAAGATTCCCCTTTCCGAATGCAAAAGCATAGTGGAAGAATATACATACCTACCACCTTAACACTAGAAATCCAGATCCAGAAAGTCACCTCCCAAAAATGGATGGCCTTAGGCAGGTATAGGGGTTGTGTAAGAGCATCCAAGTGATACTATGGACAGTCTTCAATAATGTGGCTCATGAAGCCTTGTCTGCAAATTCAACCTGTTCTCCTCAGAGGGATGCCCAGAGCAAGAAAATAATATGATTATCAAGTGCTGAACATTCCTCTGTAGCACAGCTGCCCCTGTTGTGTCAGTGGGGACATATACAATTCCACCTCAGATCAACATGGTGGTACTGAGTGCACAAGGTCAAACCCCATTAGATGGAGGCATTTCCCAAAGTAATACAGGTTGAACCTCTGTAAACCAGGACTCTCTGGTCCGACAACATCCATGGCCTGGCACGACCATGGATGTTCCAGGACCAGAGAATCTTGGTGGAGCTCTATGCCTAGGAGCCCTATAGAGTATCAGGGTTGTGAGCTGCTGGCAGCAAACTGCCAGTGGGGCCAAGAACTTACATCCCCAAGCTGAGAATTCAGAAGTGCCCCAGCAGGGCTACCTGGTGGGGTTGGGAGCTCAGCGTGCCATAGCAAGGCTGCTCAGCACACCCCAGTTGGGATGCCTGGAGGGGTCAGAAGTACGGCACACTGCAGCAGAACTGCCTGGAGGAGCTGGGAGTTGTTTCAAAATGGAAACAATTGCTTCCGATTCAGGTCTTAAGTGTTTCTTCCTCTTTGTTAGGATTTAGTTTTTACATGTAATGATACTGAACATTCCTCAGTGATCTATACATCTCTCCTGCTCCAATTTCTTTAAGTCACTTGCAGCTGAAGTCCTTTTCCTGTTCATTTGCTATTCTTCAAATTTTGGTGTCAGATTTACACCAACAAAAAACCTAACGAAAGATGACCTGCAGCAAATCCCAATAAGAGAGAAAGGTGCTTGAGATTTTCAAACTAGTTGGACAAAGGAAACACAAACCCTAAGAGTCTTGATCTGCATTACAGTAACAGAGCTATCATGATCACAGACTGATAGCCACTTCAACATGAAAGCTAGAGTCTGTTTCCATATATCAGCAGAGAGCTCTTGAAGAAGAAATTCTTCTAGCAACTACAGAGAAGGAAAGTTATAATCAGATAGCAATACCTGAAATTAGTAGTAATTCTCTAAAGATAAATATCTATTTCTAGCTTTAGATCAAGAGTGCTTTTTATTAATTTGTAATATACAATGATCAAATCAGATCAAGTATTTTCTCAAAAGAAAAACAATTGCACCATTTTGGGAAGAAAAAGTTCGTTGATTGGAAAGGCAAGATTTGGCTATTTTATATCAGCAAAATCCCTTCACAAACTTTCTAGAACTACCTAGTGTGAGTGTGGCAATAGGAGCCAACAGATTTAACTTCTGGATTCAAGAGATAATAGCCATATATAATCAATGCTACTAATTACGAATAATAAATTTTGCTTACTAACCAATAGAAGTTTCATCATGTGGTGGCTGCTCATTATGTGGCTGTGCTCTCTGTGAAGCTCCTTCATCACCACTATCATCTTTCTGGGCAGTATCTTCCTGTGATCTGCAATTTAAAATCACTCTATTGCAATTTATCTACAGGGAATGTCTACATAGGCATACAGGCCCCACTACATGGGTGCAATTGAGTCAGATCAGCTCAGGCTCTGGAAACCTCCACTAGGTATGTAATAGTATAACTATTCAAACGGTTAGCCAACAAGCTTATTGGTTACCGTATCAGTCAGGGATGTTGGCGTGTAGACAGTTATCTATACTCCTCCCCTCCACCCTGCTATCTCCCAGAGGAGGGAGCTGGTGGTCACATACAGCTGGCTTAAAAGTTGGCTCCCACCGAGCTGCTTGCTCCCCACACACTGCTGCTTCTGATTCAGGGGCAGTAGTGCAAGGCAGCAGCAAGCACTCTGGGAGCAGGGCCAGGAGACAGTAGTCAGCTGCAGCCCCTCGCAGAAGGCACTGCAGTAAAAAGCATATACTGCAGACCTTGCAGCACAGCCAGCTCCCCAGGAGTGGAGCCAATTGGCTCCATGCCCAGGGAGCTGGCTGCGCTCTAGGCTCTGAAATATAAGCTTTTTACTATAGAGCCAGACTACTCAACTTTGGAAGCCCTGGGAAGCACAATGATACGAGGGCTGCAACTTAAGTGTGGTTGCATGTACATGCAAATATATATGCAAAAAGCTTCTTTCACACTGATAGGCATGAATACAAAGTTTAAGGCAAGACTACAAAACACGCAGGCCCCATTCAAGTCAGTTCTGCTGATATTAATAACATGCAATATTTACCTGATTTCCACCCATTTGACAGAGCTTTTAATGAGCAATGTCAGTCCAGAAATTTAACAACTAAAACACATATCAACAGAGACCATTATATGGACTACTTTTTTGTTTTGGCTTCCACCTGCAGGCTGTGTGTTGAACCCTGCGTAAACCCAAACCTCACTGCAAACCAACGGGTTGCATGTTGAGTAGCCCTGTTATAGAGCCTGGAGAGTGTAACCTGGTTACTTAAATAACCACTTTTTAACATCTCTAACTTTCACCCTCATAGCCTCCCATAGTTCAAGCTCTAGCCCATGGCTAAATGTTTACATGGCAATTTTTGAGCCTCAGAACCAGAATCAGATGATGTGAGCCAGTCATGGGGCTTTTTATCCCCATATAGACATCCCCACAGTTAACAAGACAATCATAAGTATCTGAGTTAAAGCCAAGTCTAGCATTTTAATGAAGCGAAATATCTAAAGCATTAGACCAAAAAAACCCAGCTATTGTTGTGAATGGCTCTTCAAACTGCCCAAGGAAAAAAAGTGAAAAATTACTACTCACTCCTTCACAGCTATTGCTTCCCTTTCTTTAACCCACACATCATGAACAGTGCTGGGAAGCTGATCAGTTTTATATTTTTTATTTTCTTCAGATTCTTCCAACATTTCTTCTTCCAAATCATCTAAATTAAAAATAAATAAAAACAAGATCACAACTACAGAGCATCACCATCAGATGCTTAAACAAAGGAAATAAAGTTCACAAAAATATTTCTTGTCTTAACAGTAGGACTGTCAATTGACATGCGTTAGCACCTGTGATTAATGCCGCTCAGGATTAACACATTAAAAAACGTAATGTGTTAATTACAGGCATTAATGCTGCGCTGCCCCTTTGAAGTGCCACTGTGGCTCTTCAAAAGGGCAGTGCAACATGGAGCCCGGGATCAGCTGGGGACTGCCCCCGGGTTTTGGGGAAATGCCACATGGAGCCTGGGATCATCTGGGGAGTTCCCTTTGAAATGTGCACCTTTGAAATGTGCGTGGAGGCAGTGTTTTAAAGGGAGCCCTGGAGCCCAGGGTCAGCGGGGGACTCCCCAGCTGATCCCGGGCTCTGCACAGCATTTCCCCAGAACCTGGGGGCAGTGGAGCCCAGGATCAGCTGGGGAGTCCCCAGCTGACCCTGGCTTCCATGCGGCACTGTCCCTTTGAAGCGCCACAGCAGCACTTCAAAGGGGCAGTGCAGCATTAACACCTGTGATCAACACTTTTCAAAGGGGAGGCACACGTGATTAATCACACGATTAATCGTGATTAAATTTTTTAATCGTGCGATTAATTGCCATTACATTTTTTAATAACTTGACAGCCCTACTTAAATGGTTACAGTCTTGGAGGTTCAGTGACTTGGATATACACAGAAGGCACTTTTATAGCTCCAAAAGGCACTGTTTTCCAGCAGGCTCCCAGACATCAGCAGTGCTAGAGTGCCCAACCCACAACTGATAATAAGGAGAGATCAAGGAAAACACAGCATTTTCTTAATTCTATCCACAGAACTTCAATTTAAAAAAGCCTACAAGTTTTTAGCATTTAATATACTAGAAGTATAATATGACATACTAATTTATTGGTATACATAAAAGTTTTGGCAATTATTTTAAAAGAATCAAATACATTATATTTAATTCCTTACTAATTAAGACTCATTTTTAGAATTAATAATAAAATCATACCATCCAGCACATCAGGCCTGGACGACACTTGCGTGGCGTCCAAGGTTTGTGACTCCATTATTGTCCTTTCAGATTCTCTGATACCAACTAGAGCTGAAGATTTCTTTTCAATACAAGAAGCAATTTTAACTTCACTGATCTCTTTTACTGTTAAGTGTTGAGCATCTTCTTCAGGAACTTCTATACATCAAATAGTGCAATTTTAAGAGTAAATTTTTCTGTTTTGGTAATGATAAAGGGTAAACTGTAGAACTTATAAGCCGTTTAAAACATAAGAAACTACCTACACTAAGAGTAGAGAAAAGACCATATTTACAAACTTTTCTAAAAATCATGAAGAAAAGTCAATCTTCTATACTTTAAAAATAGTTACTGGTTTATTTATTACTATTTTCGTAATTGCAAGGAAAACAAAACATTGCATCTGACCATAAACAGAATAACTGTCTTGCATTTCTTACATCTGTATACCTTTTTACAGAATTTCAAGTTTTACTGAATAAGTCTTTTTACCTATGTTAAGGAACTGTATGAGTACAAAGTTTGAGAATATACATATTCCTGAAAAGAATGGAAACAGATAATAGAAGACACAAAACTGACATTATTTCAAATGACTTCTGTAAAATGAGATTATTATTTATGTGCCTTAATATTAAGCGGAAGGAACTTTTCTTACTTGATTAAATGAGAATTTCTACTGCTATACAATCATGTACCCAACACAACTGCAAGACAAGTTAATTGTTGCCAAATACCAATTCTTAAGGTTTAGTAAACTTTTATTACCTTGGTACACCAGTTTACCATTGCAAAAAGTTAAAAACACAATTTTAGAGCACAGGATTACATTTAAGACTTGAAAATCCCAATGTAATTACTGTGATTCGTCTTGCTCTGCCTGGTCAGTGGAGAACCACAAGAAAAGAAACTAATATTTGATGTTGAATCACTGGAAGCATTGGAAGAAAATTAAAATAAAAAGCCAAATAACACAAGGAAACTATATTAACCCTATGAGAGAAAGTACAGGTCGGACCCTCCCTATTCTGGCACCCTCAGGACCTGACTAGTCCCGAATGAGGGATTTTGCAAGACATGGAGAGATCATTTCTGGCCCTCCAGACTGGGCCCTCCTGGCAACTACCTGCCTCCACACCAGGTCCACTCCCTTCCACCACCTCACTGCCCCACCAGCAGCCTGCTGTCATGCCGGGCTCCTGACTTGCCAGCCCTGCTGAGCAGACCATGGTCCCGCCGCTGGGAGTCCCAACCCCACCATGGCTGACTACTGCCTCATTGATGAGGCTGGCAGATCTCTGCCCCATCGGAGCCCGCTACCAATCTGCCACTAGCTCAGTTGGACTCCTAAGGCTGGGCTCCCTGCCCCTGCAGGGCTCCTGCTTCTGGTCCTGCATCGGGACTCCCTGGTCCAAGTAACATCCATGGTCCTTCTAGACCACAATGTTGCCAGACCAGGGAATCCTGGTTTAGAGAGTTTCAACCTGTACTAGGATTAATAGGGGAGAAGCTCATTACATTTATCCAATATTAAAACATAAGTGCACCAAGATTCTGGTTTTAAAGAATGACTCCTCTTTTGTCCAAACTTTTCTACTTTGCCAGACTTCTAATTCTTTATGGTTAACAAGCAACAGCCCTAAATAATATATTTTTATTTAGCCAACTGAGGCTATCCATTGAAACAGAAAAAACAAAACCCCATAGTTCCAGATATTAAATATCATTGAAACAACTTCATATTTGCTTCAATAAACTTAAGTTTTCCCCCTTTCACAGCCCTTTTTAAACATCGCTTAAACATTTACTGAGTTTAATTTAATTTCTTTGAAGTATTTGTGAGACCAGGAATGAGGGAGAAGATGGAAGGGAAAAAATAAATAGGGACAGAATAAATTTCTATTGCTAAGGAGGAGTCTTCAGCATAAAATCAAATGGTGCATATTGACCAAAAGCTGCTGAAAAGAATTCTGCTGAATAGTTCATTTATTTTCTTGATAATTAAGATCCTATCTAAAATATAAGTGACAGTTATTTCATCTGTAACTGGAATTTCTTGGAGATGTGTATTCCACTAAGGGCTGCACACTTTGATCTGGAGGAAGACTCAGTCCCATGCTTATATGAGTGCTTCCTTATCTCCCAGCTAAGTCTGCCCCGAGGTCCATGGAGGTGGTTCCGTTGCCCCTTCCATCAGCAACAGTAGTGGAAAGCACACTCCTTGCTGAACAGGCCACTGTATGGGGGTGCCCCTAGTTTCGATCTGAATGTGGTCTTATGGTGAGTTTCATGAGATGCTTCTCGTGATGAAGTGTCCAGTCTTCTCATGTGCGGTTAGGGAAGGACTAGCGAAATACTCTACCTGGACATGAATATGATCATCTCCCAGGCTGTAGACATACAGTGTTGGTGGTTACCACTGACCAAGAAGGATCATCGACAAGTGGCACAGAGTTTGAAGCCTAAAATTCTGGGCAGTACAGTTCTCATAAATGGGTAGGCAGGGAGAAGCATGGATGGAAACTCGCAAATCTACCTACCACTACCTTTCAAAACTAAAAAGAAAACAAAACTAGTACAATTGTTATTTAAAAATCACCATTTACTACTATCTTTTAGAAGTACATCAGAAACAAGGCCACTGAAACTTGAGATTCAGACCATGCACTGTAGAGAATGAACAGACACAGTCCATCTGCCCCACCATTTATTACACTGGACAGAAGCAGAAGGTGAACCAGGCTGTGTGTGTGAAACATTGGACACTATTGTCAAATTTTCTGACTCCAGATGTATGTGAACGCTCAGTGAAATGCAATAGGGACCATCACTGAAAGAATAACTGTCCAAATCATTACATTATATTGTGGTAAACAGGAAAAAACATGAATTCTCATAAGCCCTACGCAAGGTCATTTTCTAACCCTGCAGTTCAGTCAACCCCCAATTCCCACTTACCATTTGTGATATTTATTTCCTCAAGTAATCCAGTTTGTGGCTGTAACTCTGCTTCTCCCAGTATCTTCAGCACTGAATCAGTAGGGTTTTTGACCCAAACTTTCCTCTGGGGTTCACAGACATCTAGTTTAATTATCTCCCCCATTGTCTGCCCTAGTGGAAATCATGAAGAACAAATATGTTTATCATCTTTGTTCAGAATCCAATAAAATCAAGGGACAACTCTATCTATTGCTTTTTATTTTCAACACATGCACCTGCAAGAGAAATCCCTGCTTCTATATGAAAGTCAGAAGCCATGAAGAAAGGGAAATTTTCATAAACTTCTCAACTGACTTCTGCAAATCTGAACTCAATACTAAGAACTGGCTTGGGGAAAGAAGAGACAATTGGAACATTTCTTACCCTTATTTTGCTATACGTGCCAGCTTTTTTTGAAGGAAGGAATAGGGATGGGCTTAGGAAAGAAGGCTGTTGCCTCTTAAGCCCTCAAACTCTCCAAATATATTATGTTTTTTATACACACACTGAAAGCTTTGTTATCCAACACTCATAGGGAATAGGGGTTGCCAGTTAACTGAGTAAAAAGATAGAGATTACCTTTCTGACCTTGCCCCCTACCAACAGATCTAGCTCCCCGCAGCTCAAGGCAGGCTGAGGGTGAAGGAAGAGCCTGGTGACAACATCAGCCAGAAGTGTTGGCTATCAGAAACCCCACAATAGCCAGCTGAACAGGCAGGAGTCAGGTGCGTGCCTTAAGACAAAGTGGTACTGCGGCTGGGGGCAATGCCAGATATCAAGTTTTCCACTCAACAGCGTGCCAGATAACAAAGCTTTCACTGTAAGTATTATATTTGAAGCCAATTTTGAGGAGAATGCACCTAATACAATGAAGAAAAGTAGATAAACTGAGTTAATTAAAAAAAATATTTGAAAGACTCTTCTGCAGAGAGACACTGGGCCTCCCATTTTAGGCTTGCTTAAAAGCAGAGAATTTTGTATCACACTCCTTGAACAGCAGTCCTGCACTTTATCTTTTGGCTCTAAAGAGAAGAGGAGCTCCAACTTTCATAGATCATTAGGTATGGATGAAACAGAATTTAAAAGTATTAGGCTTGATCAACAATATTAGGAATTTTATCAAGCTTAAACCAAGAAAGGATTCAACATGAAAAGGTAATAGATTAAACTGAAAAACCTCTTCCATTACATCTTCTAGTCCTTTTGAAACGGCATACATCTATGAGAGAAAAAAAGATTACTGCCTTTTGCAGCTGTTTTTCTTTAAGATGTGTTGCTCATGTCCATTCCAAGTTGGATATGTGTGCATGGCTGTATGCACAATAGCCAGAGATTTTCCCTTAGTAGTATCTGGCAGCTCGGAACCATCTCAGTTCCTTCTTGCCAATAACTCTGGCAGAGAGGTAGGAGAATGGGGTTATGGAATGGACATAAGCAACATATCTCGAAGAATGATGGTTTTCAAAAGGTTAGTAACTGTTTTTTCTTCTTCTAGTGCTTGCTCACATCCATTCCATGCTAGATGACTCAGATAGTACCCTTGCAGATGGACTCAGAGTTCATAGATGTGCTGACTGCAACACCACCCTTCTGACACCATCATCATGTGCTTTTTGGGTGGTGACATAATGGCATATGAGGGCATGGACTGATGACCATGTTGTGGCTCTCCAGATGTCTTGGACTGGTGCTATTGAAAGAAATGCTGCTGAGAAAGCTGGAGCTCTTGTGGAATAAGCAATCAATAGCTAGAAGCTGAGCCTTTACCTCCTTGCAGCAAGCCCCAAGACAGGCAGTTATACAGGATGAGATTCTTTGGGATGACACGGGCAGCCCCTCTCCTCCTTTCTCCTACTGCAACAAAGAATTGCTTGGGCATGCAGAATGGTTTAGTCCTCTTGATACAAAAGGCTAGGGATCTGCTTATTGTATCGAGTCAATGGCCCTCAGTGGTCACAAGGTTTCAGTGAAAAACCATCAGTTCCATACATACAAGATGGGAAGCGACTGTCTAGGAAGGAGCATGGCGGAAAGGGATCTAGGGGTCATAGTGGACCACAAGTTGAATATGAGTCAACAGTGTGATGCTGTTGCCAAAAAAGCAAATATGATTCTAGGTTGTATCAACAGGTGTGTTGTAAGCAAAACTCGTGAAGTCATTCTGCCGCTCTATTCTGCACTAGTTAGGCCTCAGCTGGAGTACTGTGTCCAGTTCTGGGCGCCACATTTCAAGAAAGATGTGGAGAAATTGGAAAGGGTACAGAGAAGAGTGACAAGAATGATTAAAGGTCTAGAGAAGCCTATGAAGCCAGGCTTCATGAACTGGGCTTGTTTAGTTTGGAAAAAAGAAGATTAAGGGGGGACATGATAGTGGTTTTCAAATATCTAAAAGGGTGTCACAAGGAGGAAGGCGAAAATTTGTTCCTCTTGGTTTCTGAGGACAGGACATGGAGTAATGGGCTTAAAGTGCAGCAGGGGAGGTTTAGATTGGACATTAGGAAAACATTCCTAACTGTCAGGGTGGTCAAATATTGGAATAAATTGCCAAGGGAGGTGGTGGAATCTCCCTCTCTGGAGATATTTAAGAACAGGTTAGATAGACATCTGTCAGGGATGGTGTAGACGGAGCTTGATCCTGCCTTGAGGGCGGGGGGCTGGACTCGATGACCTCTCGAGGTCCCTTCCAGTCCTATTATTCTATGATTCTATGAAGTTACATCACCACCTTTGGCAGGAAAGCTGGATGGGGGCACACCTGGATCTTGTCCTGGAAGGCCCCTACATAAGGGAATTCTGACTACAGGGGTTTGATCTCAAAGAGCCTTCTGGTGGAGATGATCACCATGAGGAAAGTGACTTTTCAAGAGAGAAGCTATGTGGAACAGGATGCTAGCAGCTCAAAGGGAAACCCCATGAGCTTTGACAAGACCAGGTTTAAGTTCCATAGGAAAAATCAGTTCATGAATCTGAGGGGAGATGCTTCCCAGGCCCTTGAGAAATCTAATCATAATCTTCTGGGCGAACACTGATCTCCTCTGCACTGCAAGGTAGAAGGCCAAGATGACTGCCAAGTAAACCTTTACAGATGAGCGCGCCATACCTTAACGTATTAGGTGGCGCAGATACTCAAAGATAGACCGCAGGGAAGACCAGGACAAAGAAAGATTCTACATGGACACTCAACAAGCAAAGTGTCTCCACTTTCTTCTACCTGGCAAGATTTGTCAAACTTGTTTTGATCAGACCTATTCTTCATGGTTCAGTCGTGCAATAAACATGATGTCAAGTGCAGGGAGGTGAGGTTTGGGTGAAGCAATTGGCTGTGGTCTTGTGAAATCAAATCTGGACAGGGCGGAAGTGTGAATGGAGTTGCTACTGAGAAGTCCAGATGATGCTAAAAGAAAATAGAACATATCCATATTCAAGTATTTCTGAAGGATGTGAACTGAGGCGCAGAGTAATCATGTAAATAGTGAAAGAGACATAACTAAGAGCACTAAGAGTGGAAATGCTCAAGTAGGCAAAGCAGAAAGCTTGCTTACTTTCTGTCCCTGAGAACGACTCCTCCATAGTTAGCTGTGCAAGAGGAATCACCAATTCAGCCGCTGCCACCTCCCATTTCTTACGCTCTACTAGAAGTGGATATTCTTCTTCTTTACTCTCTTCAGCCACAACTGTCTGACAGGTGTTGTTTAGCTCCTTTATTCCTTTTACATCTTCCTGTGCTTTAAGATTTTGATTCAATCTTCTTAGTATTTCTCTTTTATTCTGAAAAAGGGCAAAACCAGAACTGTTAAATTATTCTAAATTCAGAATGGAAAGCAACAGGAAAACTGAATAAAACCAAATGTAACTGGACTTACTTGCATAGCAAGATCCACCGTTTTTGTTTCCCCTGAGGTTTCCTGGATAGCAGTTGCATTTTCATCCTTTAGAAACAGGAAGCATGCAATTAAATAAAAGGAAGCAAGTCAGAAAAATATCTTTAAAATATTTATAGTCTGTACTGGGCTAAATATTTATAGTCTGTACTGGGCTAAGCCTCTTTAAACATTTCTCCATTGATAAATTTTGACTCAATTCTTGTACGATAATTCTGTTATGTAGCTTGCCTCTGAGAATTTCAAGGACAAATTTGTCTTGGAAACATTCTATACCTGGAAGTTAATAGTTTTGTTTTTTTTAAATGAGTCTGTGTAAGCAGACATTAAAAAGGATCAGAGCATAAACTAGGGGAGATCAAGTAGCATATTATGTATGAACACTCACATCCATGCCTTAATTTAAGGTTGAGTGACTCCTGAAAGAACAGAAGAAGGATGAGGTCAGAGTTAAGGTACTCCCACACAAAAAGAAAAAGGGATGGGAAGCTATAAAATCTTCATTACAAATAAATGTAGAGAGGCTAGGAAGTGCTTGAATTTGAGTAGGAAGAAGAAAGAAAGAAACATCTCAATATCTGAGCACAAAGTAATCAGTTTTATCAGAAGTAGCCAATCAGATCAAGCAGAATGAGAAAAAAAATGGATCAATGATTATTTCAAAAAATACAAAAGCTATTACATTGGCAGCTATATAAAACCAATTTATGGTGGCCCCTTATTTATGGCTACATTGAGATTTTTAGCAAGTATTTTTAAATTTTAAGTCATACAGAAATGTATACAGGAGCTTAAGTATTTGAAAAGTTTTGCTATTAGAAATATTAAGCAGCAATTTTAATCTGTGAAATAAAAAAAAGGTTATGTACCTTCCATTCCATGTAAGTGCGCACCACGTCATCAAAAGTTTTTTCCTTAGCAGTACCTGTTGGGCCAGCAGGGGAGCCCCCCCTGACTGGCGCCGGTATATCAGCTAACATATACCCCTGCTGGCTCTGTACCACCCTCAATTCCTCCTTACTGGACTACTTTGAAGTGGAGGTGAGCTGAATTTGGAATGGACATGAGTAACACATCTCGAAGAACAACAGTTACGAAGGTAAGTAACCATTTTTTCTTCTTCAAGAGATTGCTCATGTTCCTTCCACATAGGTGACTCCAAAGCAGAAACCCAAGGAGGCAGGGTCAGAGTTCTAACCTTCAACTGACTGGACGACAGCCCATAATGACTGGCAAAAGTGTGGACCGAAGACCATGAGACAGCCCTGGAGATGTCCACGATAGGGACCCGGGCCACAAATGCTGTAGAAGAGACCTGGGCCCAATACTCCTTGATACACGACGTAATCAATGAAGAAATCCTCAGCGCAGACACCAGCTGCCCCTGCAGCTTCTCTGCAATTGCTAGAAAGAGCTTTGAGAACTTACAGAAGAGCTTTGTTCTTTCCAAATAAAAAACTAAAACTCTCCTAACATCTAAAGTGTGTAACACCAGCTGTTCCTTACCTGAAGCATGGAGTTTGGGGTAAAAAACTGGGAGGAAAATATCTTGGGACACATGAAAGCGAGACACCACCTTCAGAAGGAATGCGGGTGGGGGTGTAATCTGATCTTAGCCATAAAGAAAAGTGTGTATGGGGGTCCGAGCTGAGAGCCCTCAACTTGGACACACACCTGGCTGATGTGACAGCCACCAGGAAGACACCTTCCAAGAAAGGTGCAGCAGCGAGCATGTTGCCGGGGCTCAAAGGAAGGCCCCATGAGTTTGGACAGGACCAGGCTGAAGTCCCATTAGGGGATGGGCTGATGGACATGCAGAGAAAGCCTTTCAGAAACCTATGTACCATGGGATCTGTGAAGAGAGTCTTGCCCCGGGAGCCCAAGTGGAAAGTGGAGATGGCTGTCAGGTGTACCCTAACTGAGGAGGAAGATAACCCCTATAATGTAAGATCCAGGAGTTAGTCCAGGACCAGCAGGATCTGGACCTCCATGGATGATACCCCCTCTTCTGGACAGCTCAGAGAAGCACTTCTACTTAGCTAGGTGAGTGGCCCTAGTGGAAGGTTTCCTACTCCCAAGCAAGACCTCCTGCACCCGCTCCAAACACTGCCGCTGTCAGCCATGGAGCTTCCATGCCATTAGGTGCAAGGGTCGCAGGTTCGGATGACCAAGTCTGCTAAAGTCCTGCGTGATGCATTCCAGGTCCAATGGGAGAGTGACAGACTCAAGAGAAACATGAACATGCTGCCTGGGCCACGCTGGCACAATGAGGATCAGGGGAACCCTGAATTTCCAAACACGCAGGAGCACCTTGTGGACCAGCGGGAAAGGTGGGAAGGCATAAAATAGACCCTGGGACTAGAGGGCAAGGAGCACGTCTCCCTGGAAGCCCCACCCCAGCCTCATGAGGGAACAGAACCTTAGGTACTTTCTGTTCTGCCTGGTGGCAAACAGGTCCAGAAGGGGAAACCCTCACTTGCAGAAAACTTGGAGATCTGCTACATCCCCTCTGAGGGACCACACATGGCTGGTGAAGGACCTGCTCAGCTGATCCGCCAGAATATTCTGGGACCCCGGGAGATAGGAGGCAACCGGGTGAATATCCACTCCTATGCATAGCTCACAGAGCTGAAGAGCTTCCTGACAGAGGAGAGGGGAGCAGGCCCCACCCTGCCTGTTGATATAGGCGACCACTGACATACTGTCAGAAAGGACCGTTTTGTCCCTTAGCTGAGGGAGAAAGGCCACACAGGTGAGGCAGACTGCCTGCAGCTCCCTGACATTGATATGCAGGGAGAAGTCATCCTTTGGTTACATACCTTGGGTCCGCATGTCTCCAAGGAGAGGCCCCTAACCAGTGTCGGATGCGACCATCACTAACCAGAGGGTCAGCGGAAGTCTGGAGAATGGGACTCCAGTGCAAACCGCGCCTCCTCTTAGGTCACCAGTCTAAAGAACGCACTACCTCAGGTGGAACTGTCACGAGATTGTCCCAAGAGTGCAGACGGGTTTGTCAGCCGACGGTCAGGGCAGTGTGTGTGTGTATGCTTCTGAGAAAAGGTTTAACGTCTGTGTTTTTACTGCTAGGACCGGGGTCCCGTCGCAGAGGGTGGCCAGCAGGCCAACAGATGCCTCGTTATATAGGAAGAGCTTATTACACCTTAGATTTTAACTGCTAGAACACAAAGTTCCTTCGCAGCGGGCAGCCTGGGAAAGGCTGGAAAGGTGCCCCAACGGATCTTGTCACCTGGGAGTGACACAGATCCAAACGCCCAAGCTCTCCCTATGTCTGTCCCTTTATGACCGGCTGAAGTTCTTTTAAATTGTGCTTGGTTCTGTTACAGCAACTGAAGGAGTCAGGTTAAAGCTTAAACAGTTACAGGTTTATTAAAAGACTTATAAAAGCATATGGTTACAATGGCTATTGCTCTATTTCTTAAATGCTAACAAATACAGATTTTAAACATGGTTACAAAGAAAATAAAGATAGAAAATAGAAATAATGGTACCAAGTGACAGCTTAATCTTTAAAGAGCTCTAAGTCTATGTATATATACACTTAAACAAAGGACCACATCCAGGTACAATTTTTACCCCTTTCTGTGCCTCTCGACTCCAGCGTGTCAGGCTAGGGCCGGTCTCTCAATTCCTAGGAAAGACGAATACGAGGTGGGCGTCCCCTTGGAACCTCGGGAGATCAAACACCTAACCCGACCAGCAGATAGATGGTAGATTGACACTCAGAGAAAATGCGCTGCTGGACCTATCTTTATACCCCTGGGGGCCCGTATTCTCTTTCTTATCTAAGATGCCGAATTGTACTGGTCCGTTTTGTGGCGCCAGTTCTTACAAGCAAGTTTCAAGTTAATTTACACTTGCAAGAGAGATAACTAAATTGTGAGCACTAGACATTTTTTTACTGGGCGAGAGATTCCTCCCCCCGCGGATGGATGTGTGTTCGTATCAATATGGGTTAAGTCAAGGGCACTCCTTGGCAGCCTCTTGGTCAGCAATTGGCATATCTCTGTTTATAGCTATTCACGGTCACACAGCCTGGGCCTTCTGTTCTGTGTGCCCTGTATGCTCCAGGCAAGCAAAAATGGATGTTACAAGGGGATTCCTGTCTGGCTACAGGGTTGTGAACCTGCACAAGCTGCAACTGTAGTGGACGCATGCGAAGGCTGGAGTGCATGCAAAATCTGGCCATGGTCATCGGGAACCCTGGCATATCCTGGACAACAACTTTGAGCACCAGGAAGTGGGATCTGGGAAGGGAGGCCATGGCCGACACTGAGTCCAGGTAAGCCCCCAAAAACTCTATGACCTGGGTGGGAAGCACGGTTGACTTGGTCACATTCAAGAGCAGCCCCAGCTTGTGAAAAAGGTCTTGCACTAGAGCAGCTGATCTGAAGAAGAGTCTTGAAGGAGCCAGTCGTCCTGGTAAGGGAACACCTGGACACCCTGCTTTCTCAGTGCAGCGGCCACAACGGCCATACATTTCGTGAACACTTGAGGGCCCCCTTCTAACTTTTCCAGGACCCAATAGTCCGGGGTAATGGATTCCCAGGCCTGGCAGAAAGGAAACAGGCGGTCCTTGAACAGGAAAGTTGGGGCTGGGAAGTAGTCCTCCAGCATACCCTCAAAATCCTTGATGGGACCCTGAGGGCTTATTGGATGGGCCCTATCCATGATCCAGGGCTGGAGAGGATAGGTATCTGCTGTTCCTCCCATTACAGTTTCTCCCTCTGCAGCGGAAGAAATTGGGGCGGGTGCCCTGCGGAGAGGGCCTAAGGGTGTGCCTGACAGACAGGGAACACTGTTGATTAACTGGGGTATGGATTCCCAGGGACTTTAAGGTAGCCCGGGTGTCCTTAAGACCGTTTAGGCATTGGTCAGTCTGCTCGAAGAGGGATGAACCCTCAAATGGAAGGTCTTGAATAGTGCCCCCCAAGCTCTAGACCACATCAGATACCTGCAGCCAAGAGCTGCAATGCAGAACAAGTCCCACAGTGTGGGAGGCTGCATCAGCCACATCCAGGGCAGCCTGGAGAGCAGCCCCAGAAACGGCTCTGCCCTCTTCTACTTGGGCTCCGAACTCAGGCCGAGATTCCCTAGGGATCAGCCAGGCAAACTTGCCCACATTCACCCAGGTGTTATATGTGTAGGAACTCAGTGCAACCTGCTGGTTCGCTATGTGAAGTTGAAGACTTCTAGATGCGTAGGCCTTTCTGCCCAAAAGGTCCATTTTCTTGGCGTTCTGCTTTTGGGGGGTGGCATCCAGCTAGCCCCGCTTCTCCCTCTGGTTCAATGCCTGAACCACCAGGGACCCTGACGCAGTTGGAAAAAATGGTGTTCATTCCCCTCTTGAAGTAGGAAATACCTCAGCTCAACCCTTTTGTCTGTCGGCAAGATAGAGGCTGGGGTTGGCCAGAATGTCTTTGTGATCTTGGTCATGATCTTATGAATTGGCAGGGCCACTCTGGTAGGAAGGATCCAAATCCTTAGACACCCTCTCTGCCTGGACTCCCAAACTCACATCACTGGTGCGTCCGTCCAGCGGGGCATGCCTGGGCCCCACGACTTTAAGTCCTGCGAGAAGTGCCAGAAGTCTATGCCCTGCAGAGACTCTTATGCAGCTTGTCTTAAGCACCTCGGAGAGGCCCACTTGTCTGAGGCCTATAAGATCTGCAAGACCTGTAAGCTGTGTAACAAATGGGAAAGGGAGTCTTGCTTGAACATTATACTGACGGAGGTGGCCTGGAAGCTTACAGGAAAGAGGGCCAGCCATGGCTGAGGGAAAAAAGGTGGGAAGTCCAGCTGGAGACAGTGCCACAGCCCGCAGCAGCAAAGGGCTGGGGTCAGAGATCCCCAGCAGCTTGTGTTGGCATGGGGTCAGAGCCCCATGGCAGCTCCTGGGAACATGGGGCTGTGTTTCTAGCCCTATGGCAGCATGGGACTGGGGTTGGAGTCCCATGGCAGCTTCTGCAGCGTGGGTCTGTGACCGGAGCCCCATAGCAGCCCCCTGGACAGCAGAGCTGTGGCCAGAGCCCCACGGCAGTCCACGGCAAGCAGGGCTGGACTCCTGTGGCAGAGGC